AATTCTACTACTGTTGGCTGTAAAGAAAATATTATAAAGAAGAAGGTAACATGATGACAAATATGGAGGAAAGAGCTGATTTGATTAACAATGATAATGGTTCTTCTTGTGCTAAGAAAAAGGTTCAAAACAATTGAAAGGTTTGGGTCCTATCAACTTGGCTCCTAGAAGTAGAAGAGTAGAAGGTGAAAATTTGGGGATTTCATCCCATCTTATTCAATAAATGTCTTCTATACCCTTTTGGAATTGTAGAGTTAGAAAGAAAAAAGCTTCTCTATATTTGAAGGAGATTGTGAAGGTTCATGGGATATTTTTTTCTTGGTTTGTTGGAAACCAAAATATCTAATATTGATAGAAGGGATGTTGATACATTAATTGGTACGGATTGGGATTTCTTTGAAGTATCTTCAAAAGGTTTGTCGGGTGGAAATCTTTTGATTTGGAAATCTAGCACTGCGAAGTTTCAAGTGTTGGAATCTTCCAATGAATTTGTTATTGGTGATTTGGAAGTTCATAATAAAGGGAGGTGGAGAATTGCTTCAATTTATGGTAATAAGGATGTATATAAAAGAAGAAAACTTTGGGAAAGATTGGAATTTTATTCCTCCAAGGATTTGCGTATGGTAAAAGGAGGAGACTTTAATTGTATTCTTTCTAAAGAAGATAAGAGGGGAGGGAAAAGATTTATCTTTTCTCTAGGACCAAAGGAAATGAAATCTTTTTTGTCTTCTAATGACTTTCATGAAGTTGGATTTCTTGCACCAAGATTCACTTGGTTTAATAACAAATCCGGAGCGGATCCGATACTTGAAAGATTGGATAAATATTTTTGAATTCAGCTGCACTAAACTCTTCACATCGAATGGTGGTTAGACACCTAGCTCGTCTAGCTTCAGATCATTGTCCTATACTCCTAAATTTACTTGAATTCTAGCCCTTGCTTAAAAGAGCTTTCAGATTTGGAGATGGTTGGGCTTCCAATAAGGCTTCGGCTGTAGTTGTGAGTGGTGTTTGGATGAAAACAACTGCTGGTAGCATGTCAAGTATTCTTAATTCAAAGATATAAAAGTCATTGAAGGCATTGTTTTATTGGAGTAAGGCTAAACACAAAAGTTTATTTATTTTGAAAGAGTCCTTGTTTTGTTTCTCTTAAAATAAATATGGAACAGGCTTATGACTCTATGGGGTGGCCTACTTTGATTAAAGCTTTGGAATATTTTGGGTTCTCTTTCATGTTTGCAAAACTTATTTTGGAGTACATACAAAATCCAATATTTTCTATATTAATTAATGGCAATCCGCCCAATTGGATTAATGAGAGAAGTGATTTTCGTCAAGGTTGTCCATTGTCTCCATTATTATTTATACTTTGTTCTCAACTCTTATCTAATACTTTTAAGCAAAAAGAAAACTCCCTTAGAATTCGTGTGAGTTCAAATGGGACAAGAGTTTCCCATTTACTGTATGCAGATGACGTAATCATTTTTTCTGAAGCAAGACTGAAGGCTATCAAAGAAATTAAAGCAATCTTGGATAAATTCTATGGTTGGACCGGCCAAAAAATTAATAACCACAAATCTTGCTTGCTCTTTGGCAAATCAGTGGATAGAAGGAATAAAAAAGCAATATCTCGAATTTTGGGATTCAAAAATGTTAAAGAATTGTCTTATCTAGGAGTTAAATTAGCTCTTAGAAGGCTTGTAGGAGATGATTATCATTTTGTTATTGAGAAAACTTTGAAGATGGTCAATATTTGGGGAGGAAAGCTAATCTCTTTAGCGGGAAAAATCACTTTGGTAAAAACTGTTTTGCTCTCCTATACTACTTTTCAAAGTACCAATTCTTTGATTCCCAAAGGTGTACTTGATGAAGTTGATAAAATTTGTATAAATTTTATTTGGAATAAAGCAAATAGAGGTCATGGGATTCACTATGTGAGCTGGAATACTTTGTGCTTGCCTTTAAGATGAGGAGGTAGAGCTTTACATTCTTGTTATAATAAAGCTGGGCCATTGAGAGCTAAGATTGTTTGGAAATATGTTCAAGAAGAAGACTCGTTACTTCATAAGGTGTTTTATCCGGAATATGGAGGCTTGTCTAGAGTTGGTATGGTGAAGAAGCATGGAAAATCATTTCAGACGGGGGAAATTCTTTGAAGCAAATAACTAGATGGTCAATTGTGAATGGGGAGTCAATTGATGTTCTAATTGACACTTGGATATTGTAAAAAAGCTTGAGCAAATGGCCAACTTTTATTTCTCTGGATCTTAGTAGCTTAACAGTGGATAAACTTATTGAAGAAGGGGAATGGAAACTGACAGAAATCAGCAAGTATATGGGTGAGGTACTTGCAAAACTTATTTGCAATATTCAAATACATTATGGAATGGGGAAAGATAAGCTTGAATTGCTTTGGCAAAATTCAGGGAAATCTATTTATGCACTAGTTTTTGAAGCCACGATTCAACAAACAGTTACAGTCCACTTTTGGAAATGGATTAGGAAAACCAAATTGAATCCACAGGTGGAGGTTTTTTGGTGGAGAATCTTAATAATGCTCTTCCTACTTACCATTTCTTATCGTATAGAAGATTACAAAGGGAGTCAAGTTGTCCTAGAGGCTGCAATGAAGATGAAAATAGCAACCATGTTGCAGTAAAATGCAAAAAACTGCTAGAAGCTATACAACACATTAATAGGTTGGGTTTCCTTATCCCGTCCTTTATCTCTCTTGAAGAATGCTGCTGTTGGTTGTCAAAACAAAATCCATTTTTGGCGAATTTATATTGTAATATACTGTTTTTCTCATGGAAATCGAGGAACAAGTTAATTCACAAAGGATTTGAGGATAGCTAAATGTGCATAGCTGCTAATGCCGTGAGCTATGCTTCCATTGCTGACTATGGTGCTAGTAGAAGCTCGGGTATATGGGGTGCTAATCAGTCGTCTTGGATGTCTAATTCACATTGGCATCCTCCTCCACCCGATTGGATCAAGGTGAATGTTGATGCAACATTACTTTCATCTTACAAAGCTGAAATTGGAGGGGTATTTCGTGATGACAAAGGCCGATTTCTTTTGGCCTTGGGGAAGTCATGTATACATTGGGACATTTCTTCATTGGAGCTTTTTGATACTCTTTCTTTGAAGGAAGTTATTAAAGATTGGATGTATAAGTACAAGGGGATCATCATAGAAGGAGACAATTCGAATATTATCAAGTTTCTTGAAGAAGCCAAAGCAAGTAGAAATTCTAATTTGGAATCTCTACATGTTATCAAAGATTTCAACCATGTTATTTTTAATTGTGCAAATAGAAGTTATAATAAGTTACCGGATTTAGGTGCTAACTATGCAATTCTTAGCTCTTTTATTTGGGAAGACATTAGTGAAAATAAGGTTCCTCCTTTTATGACTTTGTTAAAGGAGGAATCTGTGGTGTCTAGTTTGTAGTTTGTTTCTTTTTCTCTTATTAATGCAATTTTATGCATTTTCTTCAAAAAAATAAAGAGTTAAGGTATAAACTATGATCCCAAATTTAATTTAGTTAACAAGTACATCCGACTTTAGGGATAATCTTCTCTTATCACCTCATGCTATTCTCAACTTCTCTCCTCATTACAAACACAAACCATTATGATGATATGAATATAGAAAACCAACTCCTCATTGACCATCTAGAGCTCTCAATCTCAAGTCAATATACTATTTCTTCACTTTATATATGAGATTCTTCTTCATGACTTTTGAGTCATTCAATTCTTCAACTTCTATTTCTCAATTCATTGTCAACTAGATTTGAATTCAAGGTACATAACTTTACTCCTATTATAGCTTTGGAGTTTCTCTAAGGTTTTTCATATCCTTTGCCTCGTGCAATTTTGCCATTTAAGAACTGTCCAGAGATATGTGTTTAAGTTTCTCCATGGTATTCCATGCCCTTCAGCTTGTGCAATTGTCATTTAGGACTGGCCAGAGAGATGCTCTTCAAAATTGCCTAAAATATTTCTAGTGTATTTTTTTATAAGTTAAATTTATGAATATTTATGTTGTTGTTTGAGTTATGTTGAACTTAAAGGTTATTTTGTTAATTAAAATAATGAAGACATGAATAAAGAAGATATTAATATTGATATTGAAAGGGAAAATTAGGATAATGATGGTTGAATGTTTCATTTGCATGGTGTCCACATGTTTTGTAAGCTTATCGAGAGCATAATAGATGCTTAAATTTTGAAGTATTGGATTGTGAGTTCTAGAAATTCATGCCAGGCTCTTCTATGGGTGTTAATGCTTTTGGTTCTTAAGAAGGCAAATTGGATTGCAAATAAAACAGAACCCCGATATTTCACCATCATTTTTGAAAGCTTTATGATTTGGCTCAAGGTTTGTCATAGACACAAGTGCCAATTGTTAATTGCCCTCTCAGTGATGAGAAAAAACTTTTAATTAAGGCTATTCATTAGATGTTTAATGCTTAGCTTATAAAAACAACAATTTTATCATAGGATAGAAAAAAATTTCACATTCAACTTAAGGCAAATGATGCCGGAATGATGATGAATCCAATCAAGGCCTCATGGTTCAGAGATAGTCGACTCAACCAGATTAAAGAGTCATTATTGTAAGCTATAAGTTACTTCATCTAAGGAAACATTATAGACATACTAGTGAATGTTTATCCAAAAATTATAATTTTAAAGTAACCTTAACTAATAGAGGGCTTTTTGTCCAATCAAATGCACCCTATAATTCATAACTCAAGGAGCTGAGCCATTGGAGAACATTCAAGCTTCAGTAGTGATAGTAATTTAATAGTGCTATTTTACAGTGAAACAACTTAGTCAAATGATCCTAATCATAATAATTATTTATCAGTGATGCAATCAAAAATTTGGTAGAGGGCCCCAAATTTTTTATCACAAAATTAGGAGACTTCCTATATAAAAGAAATACTGAAAATGCTGAAGAAATTCACCAAATTCTAAAAAGACACAAAATAAGAAACAAAGACACTTCCATAATATTAGAGAAAACTCTTACATTTCATGTCACTTACAAAAAAACACTTACAAACTTGGACACACGCCTAAACTTGCTTCACTTAGAGAAGAAAGATACAGATGGAATGGCACTTGCAGAGAGAAGAAAGAGATTAGAAGCCAAGACGAAGGTTGGAAAGAGCTCGCAAGATTTCCATAGAAGTAGAAGAAGTGGAACAAAGCTCTCAAGCTTTTTCCAAGAAACCCTCAGGTTTTCTTAGTCCAAAAATAACATTTTTCACCACCAAAAACAGCCACAAACATCTTCTATATATAGGCATAAAAGAGAAATACAAACAGCCACAAAACATTAATTAAAAGCTGAAAATATAAGGCCAAAAGACACCTAAAAACTGCAGTAGAAATCTGTCCAGAAATCTGTAAGTCTCTTGGAATTCTCCCCAAAACAGCCACCAAACAGTCCCCATAAAATTGTTCAAATTCTGTCCAAAAAACAACCCCAAATCTCTTCATATACTCAAATAAATGAGGGAATTGAAAAACCAACAGTCACTTCACAGCAGCCCCAATATTGCATAGGAAACAATGCTTCATTTCCACGGGAAAAGGCCTCCAGCTGATATGGGAAAACTGCCCAGACAGAAAACCAAAGAGCCACTTTTAATTTCGGTAAAATGGGGGACCACGGGGCATTAATTTCAAGAGCAAACCAAAGGGTCAAAGCCAGCAGGAATCGCAACAATCCAAGAGGCAACAGGAAGAGAAAAAGGCAAGTGAAATTATAGAGAAATGAGAAGAATAAGGGGGGAAGGAAAAAAGCTAAGTTTAAGAATTAATGAGCTAATTTTTAGTCAATAAATGAACTAAAAATCAGCTCATAATGAGCTAAACTTCCACTTGACATTAATGAGCTAGAGAAGTCAAAAATCAAATATTAGGATTTGATTTGACCCCCCACGCCCCCAAATATTAGGATTTGATTTGCCCCCCCCCACCCCCCCCCCGCCTACATCAATCAGTTTCATCTGGTAGTAAAATCACCCAGTCAAAGAATATGTGTCACATCTTTATGGGTGTGAGATCATTTTAAAGATATTATAATGATACACTCAATATAACATTGTCTCTTTGTGAGCTGAGATTAATCTCAAACTTAATGCCCTTATCAAACTATTATAGAATGCAAATATATGATGCTTTAAACTTTGGAGCAATATATTTTGCCTGATTCTTTTTATAAATATATTCCTTTTTTTCATATTTTTATAAAAGTTTGGGCCCGACAATAATTTATTTTGGAGTTTAGAAACATTTTTGGAAATAAAGATCCCCTCTAGCTGAGAATCACCGCCATCATTGAGGTAAGATCATTTACATCATTGGTATTTGAGATTTGAAGCTTAATTTTGAAAATATATCCTGATGTGCATTTACTGCATCCAATATAGAGTATTTGCTTGAATGTACTCTATTTTATTGCATCTTGCTAGCTCTGTCCAACTGCTTGCAAAGGATCATGTACATGGGGGACAAGAATTAAAATGTGGGATTTACGGACAGAAAAGGATCATGTCATGCACGTTTTTTAGGCGATTACATGGTGCATTTGTACGCATCTCAAGGAATCTCAATAGAGTATGAAGCTATCTCATGATGTGTGCACATTATTTGAATAATTCCAAATTATATTATTTGCATAATCTCAATAGAGTAAGAAGCTATCTCACAGTATTTGCATGAATGCACTATATTTTATTGCATCTTGCATTTGTACCGCCGCTGCACCGGCGCCCGGATGCAGTTTTAAATAGGAAAGGGTTCCCACATCAAGAATGAATGTAGGTACAGAAGCTAGTCCATGAAACTAAAATTAGGATAGGAACTTGGAATATAGGCTCTCTTACAGAGAAATTAATATAATTAATAGATATTATGATTCTTAGGAAGATAAATATTTTGTGCATTCAGAAAACTAAATGGGTTGGAGAGAATATTAAAGAGATTGATAATTTAAGATATAAATTAAGATATTCGGGTAGGAGTCATACTAGAAATGATGTATGTCTGATTATAGATAAAGAGTTTGAAGGATAATGTTATAAAAATTAACATAATTGGAGTTAGAATTATAGTTTTAAAGATTATTATTGATGCTAAAATTGTTAATATTATAAGTACTTATGCTCCTCAAGTAAGTTTGGACTTTGAATATGAGTTTAAAATTAAAATTTTGAAATGACTTAGAAGAATTAATACAAAATATACATCTTAAAAAAAGAATTTTTATTGGAGGAGATTTAAATGGACATATTGATAGAGAGGTAGATTTTAAAAGCATTTATGGTGGTCATGAGTTTGGAACGACAAATAAAGGTGGTAAGACTATATTAAATTTTGCTTTAGCTTATGAATTTTTAATAGCTAATACCTTATTTAAGAAAAAATATGAACATCTTATCACTCATAAAAATTGATATAATAAAACACATATTAATTATTTTCTTTTGAAAAAATTAGATCGTTTAGATTCAAAAGATTGCAAAATTATTCCGAGTGAAACTTTATGTATCTAACATCGATTATTAGCTTTGGACTTTAAGATAAAATGGGAGAAAATAAAAAATAAAGTAAAATAACTTTTTTGAATTAGATGGGGGCATTTAAAGAATATTAATAAAAATATTTTCGATAGTAAGATTTTAGATCTTAAGATTTTGTCTGTGCATGATGATGTTAATTTTATGTGGGAAAACGTGGCTAGTGATATTAAGATTGTTACAAAAGATGTGCTTGGAGTTTCGAAGAGAAAAGCTCCTAATAGTAAAAATAGTTGGTGATGGAATCCAAATGTGCAACAGACGATAAAAAAATAAGAATATTTGTTATAAAAATTGTTTTATATGTAAAATTATGATAATTGGGAAAACTATAAAGAGGTTCGTAAGGAATCTAAGAAAATTATTTGCAATGCAAAAAGCTTAGCTTTTAATGATTTATATTATATTAGATACTAAAGAGGGGGAAAGATATATGTATAAGTTAGACAAACAAAGAGATATGAGTAATAAGGATTTAGTTCAAGTGAAAGTGTATTAAGGATGAAGATCAAAAAATACTTTTTTAGAAAATGATATTCAACTAAGATCGATGAGATATTTTGCTAAACTTTTAAATGAAGAACGTGAAAATACGATTGACTTTAGTGACTTTAACACCCTAAATGAAAATAAAGATATTTGTTTTTATCGGCGTATTAGTAAAACTGAAGTTAGAAAGACTTTAAAGAAAATGAAGTGTGGAAAAGTTGTTAGAACTGATGATATTCCAATAGATGTTGAAATACTTAGGAGATGAAAGAATTTCTTGACTTTCTAAACTTTTTAATACTGTTTTGAAGACTAACAAGATGCCAGATCAGTGGAGAATGAGTGTGTTAATTCCTAAGAATAAAGGTGATACACAAGAGTGTGCGAATTATAGAGGAATTAAGTTAATGTGTCATACTTTAAAACTATGGGAGTGAGTTATGGAGCGTAGGTTGCAGCGTGATACTAATGTTTCTCAAAATCAACTTAGATTAATGCCGGGTAGGTCTACTATGGAAGTTATACATTTATTATGACTTTGGGCGATCAAGTCATTAATAAGAGTACACGTTTTAGATAACTTGGATCTATTGTTCAGAGTGATGGTGAAATAGATGGGGATATTATCAGCAAAATTCAAGTTTGGTTGGTTGAAGTGAAGAAGTGCATCGGGCTTGTTGTGCGATAGAAAGGTCCCCCTCAAACTTAAGAGAAAATTCTATAAGATAGTGGTAAGACCTGCAATGCTTTATGGTGTCGAATGTTGGCCATTAAAAGAGAAGCATAATAAGGGAAAATTCTATAAGATGGTGAGACATGCAATGCTTTATGGTGCCGAATGTTGGCCATTAAATAACAAGCATAATACTAATTTAAGTGTTGCAAAGATGAGGAAGTTTAGGTGGATGACTGGATTTACTTTTCACATATATTCTCTCTCTACCCCTCTCTCTCTCTCTCTCACTTTTCACTCTCCCTCTTTCTTTTCCATATCTCTCCCTTTTCACTCACTCTCTCTCTCTACCCCTCCCTCTCCCTTTCGCTCTCTCACTCTCCCTCTTTCTAGTCTCTCTTGCTTTCTATCAATCTATCGCTCTCTCTCTCTCTCTTGTTCTCTCTCTCTCTCTCTAATAGCTCCAGTGGAAGATAAGATTAGAGAGAGTCGTCTTAGATGGTTTGGTCACATTAAACAGAGGCCTTCTAATGACACGGTTAGGAAAGTTAAGGTATTAGTTTGACTTATGTTAAGAAGGTAGAGGTAGACCTAAAAAGACTTGGTTAGAAAATATTAAAAATGATCTTTCTTTATTAGATTTAAATGAATATTTGACTTTTACAGGACACAATGGCGAAAAAGGATTCATGCAGCAAACCCCACGTAGTGGGACAAAGGCTTGATGTTGTTGTATAAATGCAATATTTTTTAGCTCTCAATGATCGCATTCTATATGATTGTGTTTGTACTCTGAATCCAATTGCAAGTTTTTATGAGTTTAAGTCTTTTGTGCATTCCAATGCTTCATAATTTTCATCCATATATGATTGTATTTTATTGTGATAGGTCCCATGAGAAATCATTTTTCTTATTATAAAAAGGGGCCACCCTAGTTTATTTTCAACATTCCATCTAGATTTTATTATTGCTCTTGATGAGTTTTCAAGACCGTTGCAAGTTTCTTATAAGTCAAGTTCAAGTTTTATTTAGTGTTCTATTACAAACTTTTGTTCTCATTTATTATTATTTTAATTGTTACATTTATTTTTTGTTTCCTTATATCACATTTATATCTTATGTCATTTTCATTCTATTTTTCTCGAGTCCCTATTCACTAAAAAATTTATTAGCCTCCCAATTTTTTAGTGGAAGGCATCTATAAGAAGCACTTGGCTTACCAAACATAGCCTCACATGATCAGTGTCCTAAGACACCATGACCATGATTTTCACAAGTCATCATGAGCGAATTATAGAGGTATTAAGTTAATGTGTCATACTTTAAAACTATGGGAGCGAGTTATGAAGCATAGGTTGGGGCTTGATACTAATGTTTCTCAAAATCAATTTGGATTCATGCCGGGTAGGTCGACTATGAAAGCCATATATTTATTAAGATGTTTGATGGAGAAATATAGAGAAAATAAGGAGGATCTACATATGATATTTATTGATTTAGAAAAGGCATATGATAAAGTTCCAAGAGAAGTGCTATGGAGAGTTCTTGAAAAGAAAGGAGTCAATAATGCTTATATTCAAATCATTAAAGATATGTATGCCGGAGCTATTACTTGTGTTCAAACACAAGGTGGATTGACCAACTATTTCCCTATTTCGGTTGGGCTACATCAAGGATCAGCCTTAAGCCCATATCCTTTTGCTTTAATCATGGATGTTCTCACTAGACATTTGCAAGAGGATGTACCTTAGTGTATGCTTTTTGCTGATGATATTCTTCTTGTTGATAAGACTAGAGAGGGAATTGAAGGTAAACTTGAATTATGGAGGTCAACCTTAGAGTCTTAAAGGTTTTTGCTTGAGTAGATCTAA